CCCTACACCTAATAAAGCAAATGCTTTCCAGAACACCTAGTAGATATTGACAGCTTTGACGAAGGAGGAAGGACAGAGTTGAGACTGTGGGTCATAATGCTTCATTATAAATAATTTATATATGTGATTTTTTTTTTTTTTCAAAACAGTTTGAGCATATTTTAAGCTATCTCCTATATTCAGTTTCAGTTTGTCCCCAAACAACTAAACAACTGTGTCCTGAAGCAGGTGTATTTTAGCTGTCTGCCTATGGCTGAAATCTGAGCTCAGTTGATAGGGTTTTAATATGTATAAGTAAAGCGGTCTGAGTACATTGCCATGGGCAAACTGACTCCCTAGAAACAACCCTGAGTAGTCTGGTCTGCGTGGGCTGTATGTCCACACTATAGTCCATTTGCAAAGTGAAGGACATGCACATTCACACATACACATACAGAAAACACATGCAGACTGCTTCGTATTTAAGAAATTATTTCTGAAGGGATGGGGAAGAGAAATATGGAGTATATTTCAGGTGCTCTTTGATTAACTGATCTCAGCTTTGTCCCTTTATGCTGTTCCTTGCCTTAGCGGAGTAAATACAATTTCAGCATGACTCAAGTGAAAATACAGGTTTTAGAGATTGAGCATTCAAAATATTTCAACTCAATGTACAAGAAATTTATTATTGCTATAGTTCAGAGGCTGCTTACTGGGGATAAAAAGATGTATAGCTACTGCAATTTAAAATCCATCCACAAAGGGATCATGTCTGTGACTGAAAGGGATCATTTCTCTGACTGAAAGGGATCAGAACTGCTGTTTTCATGTTTCAAATCTGAATTTCTTTGAATCATCAAGATTAATATATTCAGCTGTCTCATATCCACATCCAGTTCAACCTACTGCTCTTCTGCAAAAATCACTCAACTTATTTGACATAATAATGAGGTTCATGTCCTCTTCACATCATCGCATGGGCTGGCTATCTACAGAATACATTAAATTAAAATTAACTGTTCTCACACACAGCCTCAAACTTAAGCCTTCTTTGCTTGTGTCAGGATGCTTTTCTGAAGACCACCTGTTGTCCTTATATGTCATGCTTTTCCTCATACGTTTTTTTAGAAAGTTCCTCAAATACAAAACATTATCCTAGCCTTAGGCGACACATAACCAGGCATTTCTCCTTTAAGAGCTATCTCCACAAAAGTTCACATACAATTGTCTTCTATATATTTTTTAAGGTTTCTACTCAACATTTAGGAGAGCCACGTAGTACTCAGGATATGCATGCTGTTCTCTCAAGCAAATCCTAATCAGGACCGATTTTTGCCTTTTAGTCCTGACTTCAGTATTCTCTTTGTTGCCACTTCCACTTGTTGGTCATAAACAAACAGCCTATGACCCTTTCAGTGTACTGACTCCCTGTTAATTTGTTTTTATAAACGCCCATGCATTTCCAATGTGCTAACTAGCAACCACAGCTTTACGCTGTATATTAAGGTCTCCAGTGACTCCAGTGAGATCATTAGCATCAGAATGGTAAGAAGCCAAAATTATACTCCTACTTGAGGCAAATTCCCTCCCTCCAGTGATTATACTGCTTCCTCTCTCACAAAACTGTATCTTTAATGCAACTCTATTAGGATTATATATTTAAGGAAGCAGGTTTACAAGATAACCAAAACACAAAAGCCAGGACAACATATCTTAACAAGAGGTATTAGGTGATCTCAAATGTATATATATATTTTTCTTATTTGCAATAGAACAGGAGATGGTCAACTACTGAAATGTATCCTTCGTTTTTCAAAATTAGGTAGATATCCTCATGTGTATTGTTTAAGAAACGATTTATTCTTTAAAAAATTCTAGAAAACATTCCTATTTCTATGCAGATTACAAAACAACTGGAAAATATTTTTAAAGCACTGATATTTTTGAAGTGCAGTTGATGCAAACTAATTGCAGATTAATTTGCTTTTTAGATGATGGGATTATTTCATGTTAATTTCTGTGGTTTAAAGTATCCCTTTTGAACTCACCTTGGATCAAGTTGAGCATCTTCTTTACTCAGGTTCTCATATCCAAATTGATTTAGTATTGTAACCACAAGCATTGGAGCCAAAGATTGGGCAGGCTTGGTAAATAAAGCATTGGTACCAAAAACCATAGAGGAAAGTGGTGATCTAAAACATTTAGGGAAACCAAGAAATGAATGCACAACACAAACTTATTAGTATACTAATTACAGTAGTAATTATAAAAATCCTGTTAATAATGCAAACGCTAACTATCACAATACTTAGCTTTATAGTTCACACAACAGATCAGCTATCCTAATGAAATTTAATTTATTTTTTTTTTTTTAATGAAAGGTAATAAACCTCTGGGGTATGTATATACAGCTTGGCCCCAATTCTGAAATGACTTGCACTCAAGTTCAACTTTGTGCACATTAAGTAATTATTGAAGTTAAGTTAGACTGAACAGTGCATGCAGAATTAACTACAATGTAAGACTTTACATTCATGAGGCCAGAAAAGGAGGCGGTTTTTTTCTTCATGAAAGCAATAGCTCTCGCCTTTGAGGGGCAAGCCTTTTAATACAGTGACCTGCACTGTATTAATACAGTGACCTGCACTGTATTAAAAGTGCAGAACTTGAATCTGCACTTATATAAACATTGATGGAAGCAACAGGAAGTTATCTGCACTTTGGTAAAAATCCAAAAGATCCATGAGTTGTAATATGCTACGTCACAGCATTTTATCAATTTTAATTTCAGAGAGATAACAGCAACCAGTTAGACTTTGGAATTTGTACCGAGTAGCACAGGCAAAGCTTTCTGAATGCTTTTTTCATGTTAGAAAGGCCTTATTCAGAATATTCCCTAAGTCACAATAGATATATATGGTTACAAAACAATTCAATTGAAGCTAACAAAAATAAACACACAAAAAACTGAAGGACTTGGTTTATACCATAGTATAATTAAAACTAGGAATGACCTAATAATCTGTTAAAATTACTCTGCTGAAGTAACTGCAGGAAACTTTATTCAAGTTTTTATCTTTACGTATGCTAAATTGCTCTTACAAAAAGTACTTCTGTGTCAAGGATCCAAGATCATTTACTGTCTTTACTTTGACATCATCTAACTTATGAGAGAGTAACATGGCAAATAGATTGTGTATTTAAAGAAAAACATTTAAGACTGACATACCTCCGCTTGTGTTTTATTAAATCTGCATCAACAATATCTGCCAGAGGCAAGTTGAACAAACTAAATGAAGCTTGTACAATTACACTAAAGAAAGACAAAATATTTAGTATGTTCATAGTTCTTATATACACTTTCATACTGAAATCGTAACTGACATTCTAACACATACACCCCAACACTGACATTTCTGCAAACACACAAAGCTGAGACATTCTTTAAAACATGCTGATTTATCTGTTTAAACAGTTCTGAAAGGATTATTAGATCTGTTCTTAATTGAGAATTAGAAATCAATATGCAAACTTAAAAGATGTTTTTTTTTTTTTTTTCTTTTTTTTCCTGGACACTGGTGCAAATGGTCACAAATACTTGCTTGAGATTATCAGTACGTGTCATTTTAAACGACACGGAGAAAAGAAACACCTTAGAAGAAAGAAACTGAAAATTTCCTCTTGAAATCTGAAAAGGACATGAGCATTACTGGAAAGACCACATGGAAGACAAACTGCAAGTGGGAGAACTGGAATAGTAAAAAGATTTTATACGCATTCCTATATATGTATTTATGTTATACATATATATATGCATTTAAACACACACAGCTGACTCTTAAACTCCTAACTGAAACCATAAACTCACGTATTAGGATTCCTATGTCTTATTAAATTTTGGGTGTGATTAGCTTTCACTTATGAGAGGCTTTGAACAATTAGCACTTTAAACATACAGTGTTTAGGTACCTTAGCATTTTCTCCTGGGAAATCAAAAGGTATATTCATCATTTAAAGTATGCAGGTCACAAAATTAAATTTATTGTTCACACAATTCAGTGTTACAGTAGCCCATGACAGAAATACTGAAAATAAGAATGAAAACGGGGTGGAAAAAAGAAGATGAAGAAAAGGAGGGTAGGAAAGAACACGTAGAAAGCAAGCAATGAAACAGAAAATGAAAAAATTAAACTGAATTGCTGTAACAATATTCTGAAACAAACAGGTATTTATTTTTAAATAAGGTTTTCCATGTATCATAATATACATCTGTGAAAATATTGCTTCTTGGCATCATACTTATCCAGTACCAGTGAAAATGTGACTCAGTACTGGTTACCTAACAGATACCTGACACGTTGATATTTGTTTTGCAGTGCAACACACAAGTGTTCATGCAATACAAAATGAGGTCTCAGCTTTCCTAGGAAAGTCTCTGAAGAGCTCCTCTACTGAGATCTTCTCTGTCTATGTGGATGAGAAGAGGTTCCGCTTCCCTTGAATCTCATGTTAAAGCAGGTATGTGGCTGGAGTTATGTGGTTGCAAACCTTAATTACTGTTCATTTTTAAGGCATTTTTTGTTTTTTTTTTGTTTTGGGTTGTTTTTTTTTTTTTTTTAAACAGAAATGAAAAGCTGAAGTAGACTAAAATAAAAGCTGAAAAAAGTTGTAACTGGAGCTTCAACTTTTCTGACAAGTGAAACAGAACAGAAAGAAAACTACAAAAGCAGTGGCAAAATCTTCATGCTATTAATAGCAAGTGTCCACTCTGTTAGAATTATTTAAGCCATATCTATGAATAGGGAAGTATATTTACTTACATGTTTGTTGTAAGATAAAACGCCAACAGATAATAGTGTTCTGGCCCTAGAATAAACATGACAGCAGCAGCTACTCCTTCAAAGTAAAAGGAAAACAGGATGATTCTGTAATAACCAAACTTCTTCAACGAAGCATGACTGAGAAGAACAAGGCACTGAAAAGACAATACATACACATATATAATGAAAAGATATAGTACAATATCTCAGCATTAGGTGAGCTATAAAGCACAAACCAGACATAAATTATTACTACCCATTAAAGAAGAAAAAAATCACCCTAACCCTTGCTAAAAAGTTCAATCTAAACAAAAGAATAGGAATGGAACAAAAAGAACTATCTACTGGCTCATTCTGTGCTACCCTACCAGGTAAGAATGGTCTCCTTTAACTCAAAGCTGAGAACGACTATATCCTGAGAAAAATACTGTTTCCCACATTCCCTAACTATTATTTAATGGTCGTGATCTTATGTTTGATATCCATTAAAGAATTAATTCTGCAGTACATTATCTGTAAAACAAGCATCTTGCCATTTGAGTTTTAACTACTGACCAAAAATATTTTCAGTAATTTTAAAAATTTTTTTAATTGATATTACTATTTTCACTGACATTTACAGAAATAAAGCATGACTTGTAAGCTGATAAAGCAAGCTCACCAAGACAGCCGATCTAAGAAAGTTAGAGACTTTACTAGCAAGTAGAGAAAGGCAAGTGCCAGTGGACAATGCGTATGGCTGCATTAATTCAGCCAGTCTTAGCAAGCAGTAATCCACATGAGAAGATAGTGACAGGCAAACTCATGAAAATGGTATTAAGTGCTGATTATAGTATGAACAGAGAGTAAACTCTTCTATATTGTTCCTCACTTTCTACTTTAAATAGGAGGTTTTGTAATGCATTAAGTTTTTTTACTCTATGAGCCTATGTCACCTTTTGCGTATATGTGGTCCTCATCACTGTCAGAAAAAATACTCACAGACTCTATAGAGATACACATTTTCTCCTTCCTTCTGTGTTACAGAGATAGACAGTGTAATATTCAGATGAAGAACAGTAAACAATTCTCCTTGTACATTTGTTCCCACTTTAACATAACGAATAAAACCAGGATGCTAAAGTCAGACAAAGATTACTGTGTCGAATGCTATTTTAAAGAAGCTCAAGTTTTCCTCTTAAACCAGTGATCAGGGAGGTAAAAAAAATCTGCAAAGTTGGTATAAGAAAAAAAATCTGGTTGTAAGAAATGTAAAGATATTCCTCCCCCTGGCCGTTTTCAGGCATTTTGCAGAAAAGTGATTATACTAGAAACGTAAGGTATTATGTAATGCACATTAGCCTAAAAACCATGACTGTGTCTCCCCATAATTGAGAAATAACCCGGACTCAGGAAGTACTTATGATTTAGGAAATTCCTTATGACCTACATGTTTCTAAGACTGCATATTTCTAATAAAAATACTAACTTGACACAAATTTAAATTCGTTTGCCTATGCTTCAGCAAAAAGGTCTCCCCTGTAGGCAGGTTTTATTCTTCACACCCACTTCTAACAGGAACCCAAGACAGAAGCTGAATTCTAGTTTAGTATAGGCCACTGAAGCGCAGTTCATAAGAAGGGGCTTTGTTTTACATGGGTTGGGTGCTTTTCCAGTAAGTGAAGTTCAGGACATTGCCACCAGAGACTTCTCTTATAATATCTTGAGCTCAAAGGGACAAAACCTGAGAAAAATAAGGTCACAGCAAACTCTCTACAGGTCAGTGACCTTCTAGATAAAGAGTCTCTGGAGAGCAGAGAGATGCATTTTCTGAAAGATTGTTCGTTTCACACTATCACACTGATTTTATCAACAGTAGTGATTGCTGTATAATGAATGTAAAATTATTTAAGCTTCCCTAACTCCTGCAGTTTCTGATTTATTTCCAAACTTCATCAGCTGAGTTACAGCAAAAATATTAAACCTGTGGTAAGGATAAAATTTGAAATTATAGAGATTTAGGAGTTATGGAACAGAGAAGGTATGTTTAGGATTTGTATGTTATATATGCAAAAGCCAAAACTGTGACTGAAATTGAGCTGTGAATTTGAGCTGCACTTTGATATACCTTCTTTTAGATTCTACTTACTGAAAGCATTACAACTTAATGAACATAACAGCCTGCTTTTCAGAAATTCTGAACATCATCAGCACCTATGATGAAAGTCAGAATACTCAGTTTTTGAGCAATCTAACAAGTAAACACCTTGAAAGCTTTAAAAGATCCAGCGAAAGAAGTCAGAAAGCAATGAACAGGAGATTTTTTTTATTCACTGCAGACAAGTATGTTTACATTCTGTGGGACATACTTTTGCTGCTTTCCTTGTTCTTATACATTACTTGTTTGAGTTCTCTTTCTCTTTTATTTTCTGCTTCATTACTTCCCCCCCCCCGATTGGAGTCTTGAAAGTATCTCTCTCCCTCCCCAGTAAATGTAGCTGACCAAGACAGCAAAGAACAGAATAAACAGGAACATATTATTCTCCCAAAGCAGCTATTTAGAGTTTTGTTTGGTGCCCATGACTGAGATACCACATATTTCAACAATGCTTTTAATACCTAATAGTTTTTCTGGTGTTTTGTGCTGCTTATCTGAGAAACTTCCTAAAGAAGAGATTATTCTTTCATCATGTATTACAAATCAAAACCAAAGAGAAAAGAACTCAGAAGTCTATAAATTTTGCTTTTAGAAACTTTTTATCTTCACCATGTTTTTCATTCCCTTATACATAGGTATTATAAACCCTGTAGGATACAAAACATTCACTCCTTGCGTACTCACAGCTCACATTCTTGTAAACAGACACTCTACCAGCCTGCCTGCTTGTACTTTCTCCCCACCCTACTCCTACAACTGGTTAGCCTGCAACTAGAGGTACCTTCTGCTTTTAGTGCTACATTTGTTTCTCAGTACGGCCAATGGCTTACGCCGGATGCAGCATTTTTTCAAACAGTGTAAAGAGATACCTTAAACTAATGAAAACTAGTAAAACATGTTTTCATATTTTGAAATAAAAAAGTGTAACTGCCTACCTGAGGACAAATAAAGCCTGCTCCATACATGATACTTCTTACTGAGGAAGAAAGGACGTCCTTAGGAATAAGATTATCCGCAAAGATCATCATAAAATTGTTGCAGAAGGCTAGGTGGAAGACTTGGAAGAAGTTCATTGTTACAAAGAATAAAAAGTTTTTCTCTGTCATGATCTGCTTGGTTAATGAGATTACAGAGGACCAGGAGAGAGCTCCATCACTGCCTTCCAGATTAGAATTCTCTGTACAAACTTCTCTCTGCTCATATTGACTAGTACTGTATTTGCCTGTGTAACACATACAAGCTGTTGCTAATCCTGCAACCAAAACAGCAAAAGCCTGAAAATAGGCAAAGTTTTCCATATTATCCGATATGAGACCACAAAAGAGAATACTTGTTGATCCGATTAATGTTGCTACTTGGTTATATTTAATAAGCTGAAGCCTACTTTCATGTCTTGTTGAAATTTCTGCAAAGAGCGCACACTGTGCTAGAAGCACAAACGTCAGCAAACCATCAAACGCACATAACGCAACAATGAGGTGAAGACCACTTAGCCAGTCACCTTCTTCATAATGTTTCCAAGGAAACCAAGGAAGCAAAAAGGCTAACGCATATAAAGGAGCTCCATATAAAATTGAGAACTGGCGTCTAGAGCAGCATGCAAATTTGGAGTTATCTTGAATATACCCAAAAAGAGGATCATTAATGGCATTCCATACCATAAATACAACCTGCAACAAACAGGAAAGAAACACAACAGAATGTATCATTAGCATGAGTTTTCTGCAGAGGTTATACAAACACAGAAGAAATACATAACATATTTATTTAAAATAAATCTCTATTCAAAGAAAGATGAAAGCTTCTTGGGTCAAAACAGACTCCAGATCAAATTATTGAAGGTATTCAAAGGTTTATAGTAATTTTGAAAAACAAGATGAGTAAGTAGGCAGGTGCTCAACTACATGTGAAATAAACCCCTGTCTCTATGACTTCACTCCTTCAAAAAGCTTATCTACCGGGGCTTTCATCTTGCAAAGCCCAGATATTTCTCTCACAGCAAGTAATTCAAAACATGAGCTGGCCCATTACTTTCAGGAGACCACTTATGACAAGAGTTGCTCATGTGGATAATGACCTGCAGAATAAAGGCAGTATTTAAGCACTTAAGTAGTCCATAGGAAAGCACTAATGTCAAACATATCTATGGAACTGAGGTGCAAGATTAATTCAGAACGTTACTTCAAGCTATCAAAGGTAAAAAAATCTTTCCAGCAATTGAAGTCTGGAGGTTTTGAGTCTAAAGAGTGTAAATGATGTACCTTATGCGTACCTTCACATGGTACGCATATGGATTAACTAAATTTAAAATTAATTTACTGTATAATTATTTGCAATGCATCTAAAATTAATTTTTAAGTAAAAAAAAAATGACTTTGTTGTGATAACACAGACACACAGCACAACACGGTAATCAAAATATTCCATTGTACAATACCTGTGCTTGATGAAATGCTACTTCTGAAATTTTGTATCGGTTTAGGAAAAGCTTAACGTAGTAGAAATTAAAGATACTGTTCATCATTCCAGCACCTAACGTAGTCATGGAATATGCCAGCGCATTAAGATGAATTCCCAAAACAAACTTCATCTTCCACAAGTACAACTCTCTTCTTCCTCAAATTACTAAAAAGAATTACAACAGTTGGTAGAATAATTTTCCAAATTAAAATGACATGGAACATTTGCTTGTTTCAGAGGTGTAGAAATGGATTCTTAGAAGAAATTTTCCCCATTCTTACCTCTTTTTTTTTTTAATGAGAAACACATTTTACCGAGTTATAAGACACTGAGCATAAAACTGAATAGATGCAAAATATTAAGAAGTCAGTGACATTTCTAAATACAATCAGCACTTAAAAACCAATGGAACACGTAGACAAAAAATGAAAAGAATCCTTTCTGAACTGGTACACATAGTCAATATAAAAATCTGCTATAGAAAACGCTAATCTTGATGTAGAGTTCAAAGTAATCACATACATTTTACGTCTTTCTTCCTAGCTACATAATTTTAAAATTATGGACTGTAGGAATGAAGTGACTCAATTCATGTCCTTACGTATTCCATTGCTATGAATTTCAAATGCAGCACACACTCAGATGAATATTTATTTCAAAACAAATACCAAGATTTGTCCTTGTATTTTTAAGTGTTAGTTGTTAACAAGCCATGGAAGCAATACTTTCACCTAATAAACTAATGAGATATGAATAGAAACCATAAAACAATCAAAACACCTTTTAATAAACATAAAAGACTGCATGTAAATAAAATTAGCGAGTAACACGTGTACAGCATTTTAAGTACATCCAAATAACAGAGATTCAGCCCAAGAATACAGAGTTCTTTAATATATCAAACAGATCTTCAGCCAACATTTTTTTTAAGATGCTGACTTTTTCCATACATCTAGCAATTAACTTAAGCATGTTTGCTATAAGCTACCCCATGAAAATAGCTAGCTCCAGGGAACCTCTACCTTTTAAAGCAGAGTAATGACTACCTTTATGGTCCTTGACTAGATTTGATTCTGTAAGTCAAATACAAAAGTACTTCTCCCAGGTATCCGTCAGCCATTAATTTGGTGATACTTCAGGTTCAAATTTCAGTGTTACTAGCACAGTAACTCCAGAGCTTTACAACCTGCACTTTTCTCCTCTGCATATTAACAATTCTATCTGAAATGCAATTTTCAAATATCCATCAAAACACTTAGTTTGAATATTTGCTTGTTCAGCTTGACAAGCAGTTCCCTGAACTCCTCATAAAAAAAAAAAAAAACAAAAAACAAAACAAACCCACGAAAGAAACAGGACACAAAAACCAGGGCTGTTTCCAGCCTTCCTGTGGTTCACAAAGCAGCTGAAGATAGGCTGCTGCCGGGGAAGATGGTAACTCCCCGATCACCAGGCAAGGAGGACCAGGCAAAAGGGACTGTAGAAGTGTCTATTCTGGCTAAGGCAGGGGATGGAAGAGCAGTTTTTCCACCTCCCAACACAGAAAATCAACTCTTTAAGAGCAAATAAAAGGTGGATGCATTTTTGTGTGTATATTGAAGATGCTCAAATATGAAACAATATGCAAAGAGTACATAATGTGTCTTTACAGGTAAGAAAAAAAATAATCAAGCTGACAAACAACTTGAACAAAGGTGTTTTTTTTCTAAAGCTAATTTATTTGTAAGACTATGGCTGAATTTTTAGTTACTTGAGGACAACTGATGTATATTTTCAAGTTTATTTTTCACAGAGCTACAGCTGTAAAGACACTTCCATTTTGAGGTAATGAAATTTTGCTTTTTTGCAACAAGTTTGGTTTCACAAACTTTTACTGAGAAACCTAAAATGAAGAATAAGTTTATTGAAAAGATGCCCATTTGAAATGTTTATTTTTAAAAATAAGTTTCATATTACTAACTGTGAAAGTCATTTCACTATGTTATTGACAAGCGCCACTTTAAAAAAAAAAAAAAGGAAAGAATTGCATGTACAAGTCTTCACAAATATGCTTAATGAAGGGACTTACGTAGTAGATATTAGGTCTTTTGGAAAGCCAGACATTTCATCTCTATTTCCCCCTCAAGCCCCCTGCACAGGTCTTTGAATGGTGAAATCAGGAGACTCTCCTTTCCCTCAAGTTCCACGAGCACCAAGAATAAACGTGCTTCACGCTAACATTACCAGCAAACTAACAGTAATTTCTGAAATCATATTTGAATCCATTTCTTCCTACACACAAATAAAAAAACCGACTCCTCAGCTTCAGAAATTTGAAAGAAAGAACAAATCTGAAATTTATTTGAAACCTTCTAACAACGCGCTAACAGCTCTCTAGTGCCATGACTAATTATAATACGCAGGATCTGACACAACTCTTTACACTAATTGGTACATCTGGTCCTGCACCTTGTTTACGAAATAGGTTCAATTAGAAGTTGAGCTACCACACTTCCTTTCCCAGAAGATGTGCTCTTTAATTGTACTACAATGAAATCACACATGAATGTCCCCTCCCTCTTCTTAATAGCCTTTATATTGAATAGGTTAAAGCACAGGTGTTGACATTTTGTGACTCACAGAAGGCAAATCGGTTTCAGAAATTTCGAGTGGAGACAACCGTTAGTACACAAGAACAGACTGTTCAAACCAGCGAGATGTCGGACGACATTACTTGCATTTCTCCCAGAGCTGGATGACAATCACTAACAGAAACCGGAGCACGAGTGTAGAGGAGAAAGCGGATGCCCAGCGACCACGCGAAGCTCTGACTGCAGCCGCGCGGGGTCCCCACCAACCGGACGGACACGAGTATCTCCCTCATCCTTCTTCCATGCCTTAAGCCACATCAAGGCAGGACTAAGGACGAACGCTGTGCGAGCCCCGAGGGGCTATGCCAAGGGCCAACAACGCACCCGGCGCAGGAGGGCGGCGGCGGAGCCCGCGATGTCATAGCTGCCTCAGCGCTCGCCCCGAGGCCGCGACTCCCGGGAGGCAGGAGGCGCTGGAAACTTGCAGGGCTGGAAGTCTGGAGGTGCTCGTCTATTAAAACTGGGCAAATCCAGCTACTTTTCCCTCAGCAGCCCCACAGATACGGCGCCCGGCTCCGCCTCC